ATTACATTGTTAATGTTTATTGACAACATGATCTACGAGTACATTGTAATAATATTTTAACAGAATTAGAAATTGTCTCTAGCATTGTGAATTCATATTGTGATGACATGGCCACATTGAGTAATATAATTGTTACATTGTATCCTTTTTTCATTGATAATATTATGAAATTGTGACATTGTGTTATAATATTTGACATTATTAAGAAGTGACATTATTTTTATTGATGACATTGTGTTATAATATTTGACATTGCTAAGAAGTGACATTATTTTTATTGATGACATTGTGATACTAACACTATGTCATTGTCATGAACTGATATTGCATTCGTTGATGACATTGACATCGTTGTAACTTTTATATTATGTAGTATAAAATTGTTATTACAATGTCATTGACATAAGTCATTGACATTGTTAATGACATTGTGATTGAAATTGTCTATACACAATGACATTATCACGGAGTTTTTGAAAATAACACTGTAAAAAGTTAAATATCGACGATAATGTATTACAGTTTCATTATTAGCAACATGATATGGTGTTGTATATTTTCTTCACACCATCATTTTTAAAATTGTCGATGTCATGACAATGACAATGTAAATGCTACAACAATAACAATGTCAATGTTGTGATAATGTCAATAATATAAAAATAAAATTGTTAAAAATAAGGCCAATACTATAAAGTAGATATTATTTTTAAATAAAAACATATAATTAACAATAAAGTTTACAATGTCATCACATGAAAATGTATTATACAATGTCATCGTAGATCATTGTAATATACGTCATCATACGACAATGTAATATATAATGTCATGATCGTACTACATTGTAATATACAATGTCATTGCATTATAATGTAACAATGTCATGGACTCATCGTACAAACAATGTCATCATATGACAATGTAATATATAATGACATTGTATGACAATGAAATATACAATGTCATTGCGATAATAACAATTTCAATATCATTGTAAAAACGTATGACAATACAATCAAGCTGTGACAATAATAATTACTCCGTACATTTGAATAAACTAACACTGACAGCCCCAAAATAAAAATAAACAAGGAATAAAAAGTGGAGTTACAACTTGAAAAGGGAATTAAACGAAAAACAAAATAAGAGTAAACAAGGAATAAAAAAACTAAACAAAACCCATTGAAATCACATGGACAAACCAGATGTGCAAAATAGAAGCCACCAAAGAAAAGAAGAAGAAAAGTGCAATTTTGATGCACTAAAACGAAGTAACGAACCAGTTGATTGGCAATCGTTTGGGAACCTTCGTGCAGGCTGATCCGAATAATTTCACCGGTGGCTGGAAGGAGTTTATGCGCATTAGAGTTACTATGCTGGTTGATAGACCTTTAAGAGACCGGCTGAATTTAAAGAGGGAGGCAGAAACTATAGAAGTGGAGATCAAGTACGAGAGATTGCCATATTTCTGTTTTATCTGTGGGTTGATGAATCATACGGACAGGTTGTGCCCAAGACGTTTTGATAATGCAGGAGGAGAAAACCAGAGGCGGCTGGGGAGTTGGCTGAGGGCCGGAAACCGGAGAGGTGGGGCTGGGAGTGGAAGTAGGTGGTTGGTGGATGGCTCTGGTAGGCCGTTGGGTAATCTTCGGTCTGGCAGGGTGTTGGAGGGTGCAAGAGGACAAAATGGCTGGGGGTCTGGTGTTGCAGGGGAGGAAGATGGGGTATTGGAATTATCCAATGCTACTGGAGGAATTCTGAAGAAAAAGAAGGCTGTGGAATCAGAGTTTGGAGCTAGCACTTCGAATGCTACTATCATGGAGTTTATGGAGACAAAAAACGGGGAAGCGGCGGGACCTGGGTGCCAGGCCCGCCGAGAACAATGAGTTGCTTAAGTTGGAACTGTCGTGGGCTGGGCAATCCTGCGACAGTTCAAGCATTAGTGAACATGGTTCACTTGAAGAAGCCGGGTTTAGTTTTTTTAATGGAGACTTTTTCTAACCAATTTAGAGTGGAGACTGTGATGAGGCAAATCGGGCTGCATTTTTGCTTTGTTGTTGGTAGTGAAGGTCATCGGGGCGGGTTAGCATTATTATGGAGGGAAGGGATTCAGGTTCAGGTGCGAGATTCTTCCCCCCATCATATTGATGCCAATATTCAAATGGAACCTGAGGATTCTGTTTGGCGCTTCACGGGTTTTTACGGGTGCCCTGAGCGATTTAGACGAAGAGAGTCATGGGATCGACTAAGAGCCTTAAATATGGAGCCTCATTTGCCCTGGATAGTAATGGGAGATTTTAACGACCTTATGATTTCTTCTGATAAACGGGGTCGTATTCCTCATCCACCTTGGCTTTTAAGAGGTTTTCGTGAAGCCGTATGGGCTTGTGGTTTGCAGAACTTTCCGTTTCAAGGTTATCAATTTACTTGGGAGAGGTGGCGGGGTTCCCCGAATTGGGTGGAGGAGAAGTTGGATAGAATCCTTGTTTCAGAAGCATGGCTGGATATATTTGGCGGGGCAGTAGCAGAATCACTGGAGGGGCACCTAGCGATCACTTAGCTTTATTTATAAAGTTGATTCTGTCCCGAAAATTCCATGGACGAAGTAGATTCAAGTTTGAGAATTATTGGCTCCGTGATGAAGATTGCCGCATGATAGTTGCTAGAAGCTGGGGTTTGGGAGCTAATTTAGGCATCATGGGACAGATTGCTATTTGTTGCAAATCCGTTGGGGATTGGGGACGCACGGCAGCAGGATCCTTGGGCAAAAGAATTCAGTTTTGTAGAAAAAGGTTGGAATATCTACGAAGGTTCACAGATGATTGGCATTTGAGTATTTTTGACAAGGTGAAGCGAGAATATCTCGAATTATTGGAGAGGGAGAACTTGTTTTGGAGGCAAAGGGTGAAGGAGTTTTGGCTCAGAGGAGGCGACCTTAATACTCGTTTTTTTCATAATTCAGTGAAGCAAAGGAGGCGGAAAAATAGAGTGGAAGGTTTCCGGTTGGAGAACGGAGGATGGGAGACAGATAGGGTGGAAGTTGGGCGTCTGATTGGAGATTATTTCACTAATATTTTTTCCTCAGTGAATTTTACAGGTGATTTTATTTTCCATTGTGTTACTAGGAAGGTGGAGGATACTCACAATATTAATCTGTTGAGACCGATTAGAGGGGAGGAAGTAAAGACAACACTCTTTGACATGTTTCCGGATAAATCTCCTGGCCCGGATGGGCTGAGTCCGGGATTCTTTCAGCATTATTGGGACGTGGTGGGTCCAGATGTAATCAAATTTTGTTCTGAAGCTTTTCAGACAGGTAAACTCCCGGACAAAATTAATCACACTAATATCATTTTAATCCCCAAGAAAGATAAACCGGAAGTTATTGGGGATTGGAGGCCTATAGCACTTTGTAATGTGATTTATAAAAATTTTTCGAAAGTTCTGGCCAACAGGATGAAAGATGTTCTTAATTTATGTATATCTGAGCAACAGAGTGCTTTTATTCTGGGAAGATCCATAATTGATAACATTATGATTGCTTTTGAGACCCAACATTTTTTGAAAAGAAAAACTCAGGGCAAAACAGGTTTTGTTAGTCTTAAATGGCTAAAGGGTCAAATAGACCCTTGAACTGACTTAAAATGTTCAATTAGCCCCTTATATAGGAGGTTCTGCCCGGCTGTCGCTAATTGGGGCGGTTCTCGGTGAAATTTTTTGATGAAATTTTTTGAGCATCTTCTTCATTAAGTCTAGTTTACCCATACCAAATTTCAGCTAAACATTCAACCGGGAAAGCAGTTAAATGATTTTCCGAAATGTACTGTGTTGTTTAACTTCGCAGTTATCTTCAAAAAATCATTTGACTGCCTTCCCGGTTGAATGTTTAGCTGAAATTTGGTATGAGTAAACTAGACTTAATGAAGAAGATGCTCAAAAAATTTCATCAAAAAATTCCACCGGGAACCGTCCCAATTGGCGACGGCCGGGCAGAACCTCCTATATAAGGGGCTAATTGAATACTTTAAGTCAGTACAAGGGCCTATTTGACCCTTAAGCCGTCTTAAATTGGACATGAGTAAGGCCTATGATAGGGTTGAATGGCCTTTTTTAAAAGGCATGTTGATTCATTTGGGGTTTGATGTTCGCTGGGTACAGTTGATTATGGAGTGTGTATCGTCAGTCTCATACTCAATTCCTTTTGATGATGGGGAGTTGGGACCGATTATTCCTAGGCGGGGATTGAGGCAGAGGGATCCTTTATCTCCTTATTTATTCATATTGGTTGCAGAAGGATTGAGTGCCTTATTGAAAAATCATGAAAAGGCAGGGCGTTTGCATGGTGTAGCAGTTGCACGGGGGGCTCCTAAAATTTCTCACCTGTTTTTTGCAGATGATAGTTTACTATTTTTTAAGGCTACCCATGGAGAAGCATCCATAGTTAAGGAAGCTCTGAATGATTATTCACAAGCTTCGGGGCAGGTAATAAACTTGAATAAATCAAAATTGTTTTTTAGCTCAAATGTTCCACCTGATTGTAAGGATGGTTTAAAGGATTTATTGGGGGTGAGTTTTGCTGGAAGTGAGGAACGGTACTTAGGGCTTCCGGCCCTAGTGGGTCGAAATAAGAAAATTGTTTTATCCCATCTTCGCCAGAGAATGATTGCCCGAATACAATCCTGGAATAATCGATTTTTGTCTAAGGCTGGGCGGGAAGTTTTACTTAAATCTGTCATTCAAGCCATGCCCACGTATGCCATGAATGTGTTTCTTTTACTGAAAGAATTGTGTCAGGAAATTGAAACGCTTATGAATGGGTATTGGTGGCAAGGGAAATCCGGAAGAGGGATTAGATGGAGAAATTGGGACTTTTTGTGTCGGCCAAAAAATGTGGGAGGATTGGGTTTTAAAAAACTTAGAGAGTTTAATTTGGCTATGTTAGCTAAACAAGCATGGAGAATTTTTTCAGAACCGGAGTCCCTTGTGGGTAGGGTATTCAAGGCCCGGTATTTTAGGGACGGGAATTTTTTGACTGCTAAATGGGGTAATAATCCTTCTATCATTTGGCAGAGTATCTTCCAGACCCAGAATATCATTAAAGAAAGCTACCACTGGAGTGTGGGAGATGGAAAGACTATCAACATCTGGACCGACCCCTGGTTACCAAATAAGAATCAACCCAAGGTAATTTCTTCTCCATTCTTGGGATTGGAGGAGGCAAAAGTTTGCAATCTGCTGTGTATTGAAAGGAATAATTGGGATGCCGATCTTCTACGTGAGTTATTTGTGCAGCGGGATATTGACCTTATCAATGGAATTCCGATTAGCCATAGATCGGTTTCAGACAGGCTTTGTTGGCGGTGGGAGAAATCTGGAAGGTTCTCAGTTCAGAGCTGTTATAGAGCGCTGATTGGGGAGTTTGAGAACGCTGGGTGGCGTGGTTGGATCCAGATTTGGAGATGGAAGCTTTCTCCAAAGGTAAAATTCTTCTTCTGGCAGGCTTGTTGTGATTTGCTTCCCACGAAAATCAATTTGAAAATCAGGAAGGTAAACTGTGCATCCAACTGCGGTTTGTGTGGAAGAGAGGAGGAGACGCTGCAACATCTCTTCGTGGCATGTCCAGTAGCTTTGATGGCCTGGAACTCAATTGGTTGGAGCTGGTCGGCTTCTCCTGCACAGTCCTTTTTGGAGCAGATCCGGGCAGAGTTTGAAGCTAGGAAAGAGGAAGATTTGTGTAGGTTGGTTTGGGGTTGTTGGGGGTTATGGTGTGAACGCAATAATAGGACCTGGAATGGGGTTATTTCAGATCCGAATCAGATCCTTGTGAAGACTAGAATGTATATTAGTATCAGACATGCTGCCGAACACCAGTACCCGAGATCTCCGAAGCAGCAAGCTTGGTCCATATGCCTAAAACGTTTTGCTTCAAAGACCTTTCCAATTCCGGGCTGATTTATTTCACTGGATTTGAAATTTATGGTGTAAAATTCCTCTTTGTGGGGTGTGAACCTCTTGAATTGGGTCCTGGAGACAATAAACGGAGCTACAACAGAGAAGAGAATGGTTGTACCGTGGGAGCCCGCAGTGGACCAATTCCGGTGAAACTTGACGAAACTGGGAGCTGTGATTATGGAACAGAAGGACCAGGCCCGGGCCCGAGATACAAATAGGCTGGGCCTCAGGGATAGCGCGAGAATGCTTATAATGTTCTTTTTGCTATAAAAATCTACTAGTATAATTTAAAATTATACAATATTACCGTCAAAATACTAGTATAACACATCAAAAAAACCAACAAAGCACGTGGTTAGAAAATATATATAGAGGGTATTGAATCTATTGATAAGTGACATTCGATGAAACAATGTACCTCACAGCCGAGTGAAACAAGTATTGCAACTATATATTAGGCACAATAAAAATTTTGAATTAAAGAAAGTTGTGAAAGTTATATCTTGTATAAGGAGTAACTATTTCATATTTTAAATCACATTTTCACTAGACAAAAACAAATTCTAAGTTTCTAAATTAGGGACACTAAAGTTCAATCTTTCACTAAAGAGAGCATTGGAGGAAATTTGTGAAATACATCAATGAATTCTGGATATACATAAGACATGTACACTAAGTCACTAAAAGATTAAATTTAATGTAATAATCCGTAATGATTCAAAAGAAATAGTGAAATATGTTCCCAACAAATTCTAATGTAAATGTTTCTAAATTATAGACTTGTATCGTGTAGATGGCAAATAACAATTTAGAAGTATCTAAAAATATAAGTTTGATTTTATTTTTTATTTTTTATGGATTTAGGATGTATATATTATTAAAATATTTATGTACACATATATGTTTGAGAAATTTATGGGCCCTACTGGAGCAAAGGGTCTTGGGCGTAGGGGCGGACCCAGGAAGTTTATCTTGAGAGAGCGGTAACTTAAAAGAAATATTTTTTGGGAGGGCGGAAATTATTTTTTGGTATATCTATACACTAAAAAATCTTGGGACCGTAGGGTCTCTACTACAGTCCGCCCCTGCCTGGGCGCATGCCCCTCCTGTCCATGCCCCAGGACTGGCCCTGGGATTTGGCGCCAAGCCGAACCAGGATTTCAAAAAGTACGTCATACGGGAGAAGAGGAAGCCTGGGTTTCGAAAATCGCCCCATCTTAATTTGCCAAAGCAATCTAATGGCGTATGTGATGGGTTGTTATCATACTCGTATGACATAAACGTACATCTAGGTCGGTCATCCCAAATTCCAAAGGAGTTGGACACCGTTATTTTAGTTTCCAAACGAGTAAAGGGTCAGTTTAGTCCTTGAAGTTGCAAAAAAGGCGTCAAATAAGTCCTTACATAGAAGATTCTGTCCGGACGTGCCATTTGAGGTGGCTCCCGGTGGAATTTTGTGATAATTTTTTTTGAGCATCTTATTTATTAAGTCTAGTTTACTCATACCAAATTTCAGTTAAAAATTCAATCGGGAGGACATTCAAATGAATTCATGAAGATAACAGCGCTTTTAACGGCACAGTTATCTTCAAGAATTCATTTGAATGTCTTCCCGATTGAATTTTGATCTGAAATTTGGTATGAGTAAACTAGACTTAATGAATAAGATGCTCAAAAAATTTCATCAAAAAATTCCACCGGGAGCCACCTCAAATGGCACGTCCGGACAGAATTTTCTATATAAGGACTTATTTGACCCCTTTTTTGCAACTTCGAGGACCAAACTGACCCTTATCCCGTTTCCAAACTAGATTATACTCGTACTTTTTTTGGTAGATCCAAAATAAATTTCATACTTCTGTTTTTGTCAAGTTTTAAATATAAAGTTATCGTGGAACGGAGGGACTTGGAAACGCAATAGAGCTTTCCCCTAGATTTGGGGCCAAGACGAACCAGGATTTCTAAAAGTATGTCCCGCGGAAGAAGAGAAAACTGCAAGAAGAGGGTTTGATAATGAAAACAAAACCTGGAATAGTAGGCTGGTTGGTCTTCTAAGGAAAACGACACCCTCTTAATTTGGGGATAAATCGAATCGCGTTCTGGGGCTGAATTTCCAAATGGTAACCGATGAACAATTGTAATTCCAAATGGTCGAATCTCATCCCGCTCGGACAAGGCTTGTGACTAGGGCTGAGCAAAACACGATCTGATCTGAAAAACCCGATATTTTTTCCGGTATATCCGAATCGAAGTGGATATCCGACCCGAAAAAACCGAAACCGAAAATCCGATTAGTATTGTACTATTGTGCCTAGACCGGGTGGCGGTAGAGTTTGTGAAATCCCAACCCGACCCGCCCGAATATCCGAAATATAGGTTAGTGTGTACTTTGAATATTTAAATTAATACTTGTGTTCAATTAAATGTGTAATTATTTGTGCAATTTGTATTAAATTATTTGTTTAAATTAAGTGTGTAGTGCACTAATGTATACAATTTTTATCAAAGTGGCATTCCAACGCTTTAATTATCCAATTATAATGTGTTTTAATATAACCGAAATATCCTAAATATATTACATTATGTAGTGTGTACTTTGAATATGTTAAATTAATACTTGTGTTCAATTATTTGTGTAATTATTTGTGTAATTTGGAAGTTTAGTGCACTAGTGTGTACAATTTTTGTCAAAGTGGCATTTTAACACTTTAATTATCCAATTATAATTTTTTAATATAACCGAAATATCCGAAACCCGACCCGATATCTGATAATATCCGACTTAAAAATATCCGAAATATCCGATTTGAAATATCAAAGGGTCGGCCTAGTATTTAAATTAAAAAATCGAACAGGTTTAGGGTTCGCAAACCCGACCCGACCGAACCCGACCCGTGCACAACCCTACTTGTGACTTGTGAGAGATAGCAATTCACAATCTCAGTACGATGCATCTTAAACCCGTGCGTAATATACAAGTACACATGCACACATAGGTCAATCGTCCCAAACTCCCAATAGCTTTTGGGTTGATGAGTTGTTCACTACTACGTATTTACTTAGTATTTTAGTTCCCAAACTAGATTATGATTTATGACAGTTTTCTTTTAATATTACTAAATTAAGTCAATGTCCAAAACCGTGACCATTTTTTCCAATAGGAAAAAATATGATTAGAAAAGGTCATATATTTGTAAAAACATGATGAGATCGTTTATTTTTTGGCGTTTGGCGATCGAAACACTAGAAATATCAGCATTTGTTTTGTAAAAATATTGGCATCTTAGCCAACAAGTTGGTATCCAAACGGAGCCGATGTCACTGTCAAATTTTTATGTCATTGCCAGATGTTGATATCACTTGATTCACTGTCATATGTTATTATCAATTTTTTGTGTCACTCCTGAAATGTCACTACCGATTTTCATGTCACTTTCAGATGTCAGTGTCACTGTGAAACCTGTCACTTTGACGTTGGAAAATTTTTCAGTGGCTTTTCTGATCAAATGTTATACAACCTCCATAATTTCTGCTCTAGAAATCGTCGTCCAACCGCCGCAGTCAGTGCAACTATCACCCTCCCCAATGGCCAAACCCCAACCATGTACGACTAATTAATAGTGACAACAATGAAACACCAATATATCCTCACCACCTGTTGCTATCGTCTCACCATCTTCGGTCGCTGTCACAACATTCTGGTCGCCACCATCTAGCTCACTTGGCTTACAGCTATCGTCGACAACTCCTAGCCTACCCCTCTCAACCCCCAAATCCCCTCTCCACAGCCCGTATCCCCTCTCCCAAGTCTCTCCCACCTTCCCCTCGCCCAAATCCCATCCCAAGCCATCGCAATATCCCCAACCAATCCCAACCCTAGCCGTTTCCATTTGGATCTCGACCACCACCGGTGCCACTCTTCGCCGCCGGAGCGCCACACTGCCTAAAAACGCTAGCAAGATGTCGTCATAGACTCGGACGATAAATAGAAGATGACTCCAAAAAAGTGCGTAGGCAGAGGATGGGGCGAGGATGGAGAAAACTATGGTGGCGGCTCTATCAGCGGAGGGCGATGGCAGATTTGCAGCGGCTCTATAGCAGGGGCGGACCCAGGTATTGGAGGTTCAAAATATTTTTAGGGGGTGAATTTTTTTAGGGGGCGAAATTATTTTTTCGTATATATACACTCAAAAAAAATTGTTGGGGGACGATAGCCCCCTTGGGTCTCTACTACGGTCCGCCTCTGCTCTAAAGGTAGAGGGCGATGGCGGTGGGGCTCTATTCGCGAAGGGACTGGAGAGATGGAATTATGCGCTCGGCAACAATCCGTTGTGGGGAGTTACTCTTTTTATGAATGCACAAGAATAACCCCGGCCCCCTCCTGGCTCCTGGGGAGTTACTTGGTCTATGATCGCACAATAAAAGAAAAGGAAGGGGATGGGTTTAATCGATCACATTTTTGGCTAAAAGGAAGGGGATGGGTTTAGTCATATTTTTGTCTGACAAAAACTGAGAGATAATATTTGTGTCATTCTTTCATTATAATAGGGTTATTATTACGGACGGATATATATATGATAATATATTGAGAATATATTTATGATGATTGTTTTTTATTAGGAATATATTACTAGTTGATAGTTTCCTTCTAGGGATGTAATTTCCTTTTCTCTTTGCCCATGTACCATCGGTATTAGCTATATAATAGCGCCGAACTTCATACGATGAATAAGAAAAAACTTCCTCTTAAACTTTATTCCTATTATTAGTTCGATCTCGTTATGGTATCAGAGCATTAAAACACAATCATGGCTGCCGGCGATAATGAAGAAAACGGAGGTGCTGGACAGAGCCGGACTGATCACACCTCTCCGTTTTATCTTGGACCGCAAGATAGACCGGGTGATTTCATTACTCCGGTACGATTAACCGGCGACAACTATGATACTTGGGCTAACGCGGTGCGACTGTCCTTGCGAGCACGCCGGAAGTACGTATTTGTTGATGGCACAATTAAGGGACCGATTGCTCCTTGGACGCAGGAGGACTGGATGACAATACAGTCCATGATTGTTTCATGGCTGCTTAATACAATCTCCCCTGAGGTGAAGTCTACTTTGTCTCAGTACGAAGACCCTCGCATACTCTGGGATGACCTCCAAGAACGCTACTCCGCTGTGGATGGTCCGAAGATACACCAGGTGAAGGCCGATCTGGCCAAATGCACTCAAACGCGCGGGATGAACGTGGGTACATATTATGCTAAATTAAAAATTCTTTGGGATGAATTAAATAATTATGAACCTATTATCGCATGTACGTGTGGAAAGTGCAAATGTGATGTAGCAAAGCAGCATGAAAAACGAAGGGAGTCCGAGCGTTTTCATCAATTTTTGATGGGATTAAATTCTGAATTTTTCGGAACCGTCCGGTCTCAACTTCTCACACAAGTTCCGCTGCCCACGTTGAATCGGGCGTACCAGCAGACCACGCAAGAGGAGAGGGTTCAAGGCATGAATCAAACGGTTGAACCACAAGAAATCTTGGGCTTCGCAGTCCAGGCTCACGGACAGAATGCAAAACGAGGGGCTAAACAGGACAAGGCAGGTCTAGTGTGTACATATTGTAAGTATACGGGACACGACGTCACTTCCTGTTTTGAACTCAAAGGATACCCGGACTGGTGGGGTGACCGTCCGCGTGTTGATAGTAAAGGCATTGGACGAGGAAAAGGGAGTGCGGCTCCTACCGGGAAAGATCGTGGGCGTCTCAAACCAGGAGCAAAAGCCCATGCAGCTGTTTCCGATACATCTGGACGGGATGAGGTGGCTGGAACTTCTTCCTGTGCAGCGGCAGACACACCGTTGCCTAGCTTCACGCCCGAACAATGGCAAGCCCTGGTGGCGGCATTTGGTAATTCACAACCTTCTAGTACGCGAATGACGGGTAAGCATGATAAAAATTCTTGGATTCTTGACACAGGTGCTACGAACCATATTTGTAGCGATAAGAATTTTTTTTCTAATATGCGCCCTATTGATTCCTGTTCGGTTGGTTTACCGGACGGCCAAAAAATTCTTGCCACTCATGAAGGTTGTGTTCAGCTTGGTACTGGTCTGTGTTTGAATCGTGTATTATTTGTGCCAGAAATAAATTGTAATTTACTCTCTATAACCCAATTGAGTGATGATTTGAACTGTTTTGTTCAATTCACTTCTGACATTTGCGTTATACAGGACCGAGCCTCGAAGAAGCTGATTGGAACGGGTGAGAGGAGAAATGGGTTGTACTATTTTCGGGAGGATTTTGTGGCACGTGCATTGACCGTGGATGGAGGTACTCAATCACGTCTTGATATATGGCACAAGCGCATGGGACACCCTTCCGAGAGAGTACTGCATTGGCTTACACCCGTTCGGGATCTGCCTGGGTCTTTTTCCTTACCTTGTGATGTTTGCTTTCGTGCCAAACACTCTAGAGACGTTTTTCCCGCTAGTTTGAATAAATCTAAAGATATTTTTGAATTAATCCATTGTGATTTGTGGGGCCCGTATAATACGGTCTCTTCTTGTGGTGCTAAATTTTTTTTAACTATTGTGGATGATTTCTCCCGTGCGGTTTGGATATATTTGCTTGTTGACAAGAAGGAAGTTCTCAAGATGTTTATGTCTTTTATTGCTATGGTGGACCGCCAATTTTCCAAAAAGGTCTCTATTGTCAGAAGCGATAATGGCACCGAATTTAATTGCTTAAAAGATTTTTTTCGTGCTAGTGGTATTATTTTTCAGACGTCGTGTGTTGGCACACCGCAACAAAACGGTCGTGTCGAACGCAAACATCAACATATTTTAAATGTGGCGAGAGCTTTGAGATTTCAAGCTCACCTACCGTTAATTTTTTGGGGAGAATGTGTTTTGACCGCTGCTCATCTTATTAATCGCACCCCCTCTTCAGTGATTAATTTCAAGACCCCGTATGAAGTACTTTTTGGTCACTCGCCATGCTATAAATCCTTGAAAGTTTTTGGCTGCCTTTGTTATGCATATAATCTGCGGTCCAAGGGAGACAAATTTGCTAGTCGAAGCCGGAAATGCATTTTTGTTGGCTATGTTTTCGGGAAGAAAGGTTGGAATTTATATGATTTGGAAACTCACGAATTTTTTGTTTCTCGAGATGTGAAGTTTTTTGAAGATCACTTTCCGTTTGCTAGTCCACCTTCATTCGATGAGCCACTGCCAGCCGAGACTGATATTTTCTTTGAGGATCCACCGGTTGTACCCATAGTTCCAGCTCCACCGTTAGTCCCTTTGCCGGACAGTACTAACGCCGCGGGGTCGGCCAGTTCTTCTACAGCAGATGAGCGCGACACGACATCTACTTTGGGTCGGGGACAGAGAGTTAAACAGCCATCAGTTCGCTTGCAGGATTATGTGACTCACACCGTGATTAACAATAGTCCCATTTCTCCCTCTCCGTCCACTCCTGCTTCTTCAGGTACTCCTTTCCCTATATCGCATTATGTTAGTTGTGATAATTTTTCTGCACCACATCGGGTATTTCTTGCAGCAATTTCCTCAGGCATCGAACCACACTCTTTTAAGGAAGCTGCTTCTAGCCCGAAATGGCGTCAGGCCATGGAATCGGAAATTCAAGCTCTTGAACGAAATGGCACTTGGTCTCTTGTCTCTCTTCCTCCTGGAAAGCGTGCTTTGGGCTGTCGTTGGGTGTACAAAATTAAGTACAAATCCGACGGCACCGTGGAACGTCTTAAAGCCCGCCTTGTTATTTTTGGGAACCGCCAAGTTGCCGGTCTTGATTATGATGAAACGTTTGCCCCAGTAGCAAAGATGGTCACTGTGCGAGCCTTCCTTGCTATTGCGGCATGTAAAAATTGGGAACTTCATCAAATGGATGTTCATAACGCATTTCTTCACGGTGATCTTAATGAAGAGGTGTATATGACATTGCCTCCGGGATATAAATCCTCTAATCCCGATCTGGTTTGTAAACTTCATAAATCGTTATATGGGTTAAAACAGGCTCCTCGGTGTTGGTTTGCCAAGCTTGTCACGGCTCTCAAAGCATATGGATTTCTTCAGTCTTTCTCGGACTACTCTTTGTTCACCCGCACTAAGGGTGACATCCAGTTGAATGTGCTTGTGTATGTTGATGATCTTATTATTTCTGGGAATGACTCTGCCGCCATCCGTTCCTTCAAGGGTTATCTCAGTGAATGCTTTCATATGAAAGATCTTGGCAAATTGAAATATTTTTTGGGTATTGAGGTGGCCCGGAGCGCCTCAGGCATTTTTCTTACTCAGCGTAAATACGCCTTGGACATTATCACTGAGACGGGCCTACTAGGGGCGAAGCCAGCCTATTTTCCTATTGAACAAAATCATACTCTCGCTCATGCGTCGGGCCCTTTACTCGATGATTCTGAGAAGTATCGTCGTCTGGTGGGTCGTCTAATATACTTGGCTGTTACTAGACCGGACCTTGCTTACTCAGTTCATATATTGTCTCAGTTCATGCAACATCCGCAAATTGAACATTGGAACGCTGCTCTTCGCGTGGTGCGTTACCTCAAGGGATCTCCGGGCCAAGGTATTCTCCTACGGGCCGATAGTGATCTTACCCTTACTGGATGGTGCGATTCAGATTGGGCGGCATGTCCTCTTACTCGCAGATCTCTTTCAGGTTGGTTGGTTTTCCTTGGACACTCCCCGATTTCATGGAAAACAAAGAAGCAAACTACTGTTGCCCGCTCGTCAGCTGAGGCTGAATATCGGTCTATGGCAGCTGCCACATGTGAATTAAAATGGCTTAAAGCTCTTTTGCTCAGCCTGGGAGTTCATCATCCTCAGGCTATACCTCTTTACTGCGATAGTCAGTCTGCCCTACATATTGCTCGAAATCCCGTCTTCCATGAGCGGACCAAGCATATTGAGGTGGATTGTCACTTTGTTCGCAATGCTATTCAAGATCATCTGATTGCTCCCAGTTATGTTCCCACTACCATTCAACTGGCAGATATTTTCACTAAAGCTTTGGGAAAGACTCAATTTCAATTTCTGTTACGCAAGTTGGGCATTCTTGACCCCCATGCCCCAACTTGAGGGGGGGTATTACGGACGGATATATATATGATAATATATTGAGAATATATTTATGATGATTGTTTTTTATTAGGAATATATTACTAGTTGATAGTTTCCTTCTAGGGATGTAATTTCCTTTTCTCTTTGCCCATGTACCATCGGTATTAGCTATATAATAGCGCCGAACTTCATACGATGAATAAGAAAAAACTTCCTCTTAAACTTTATTCCTATTATTAGTTCGATCTCGTTAGTTATACCAATCAAACCTGATCAAACCATATTTTGACAATTGTATAATGTACATAGATCATACATATACCAAACTAGACTAAATCAGTTGAGACCTGACCAAACCAGATTAAATAGACTAGAAAAATTTCATCTCAATTAAAACTTTAAGAGTTTTAAAATGTCTTAATTGAATACATCAAGATTTTACAAATCCTAAAATATATTGAAATGTCTAAAAAGAATACACCCCTAATATGGTAGACATGACCCCTTTATATGGTCTTGGCTCTAACCAATTGGATCACCTCTAGCACTCTAGTCATCAAGACAAGAGTCACACAACACTATCAAGGCATGAACACAAGTCACGAAAAGTAGAGCTCAAAACTATAGGACATCCAGCGAAAGGCAAAACTCAATATGGCTCCAGCCGGTCAAGTCGTGAGAACAAAAAATGTGTAACTGATGCCTCTTCATCTTAAAGAACAAGAGTGGTGGTGTATGTAAATTAAGTTCAAAACCTTAAACATTACGGATCGGAGTATTAATTAACCATGTGTATTCCTCTAAGAAATCAAAAAAATGATGCTTAATGAAGAAGTATATAAATTTAACATGCTTCATTAGGATACAACCAACTCTCAAAAGCTTAATAGCACCGGCCATTAGTCACAAGAAATAAACTAACCAAAGTCGAATGCACACCCCCCAGAAAGTAAGAAAACTATATGACTGTATGACACTCAGTACGTATTTTAGTTTATTTTGTAAGATTTCAAATAAATATAAGAGATTCAAATACAGTGTTTGCATGCCTTTCCATCATTACACATGGGAGACATGGCATTCAACATGAGATTATAACAGAGAAGGGAATAGCTAGAAACTCTGTGGTCAATGGGGGTGGCGGTGATATCACTAGCCTCATCCCCCAGGGGCCAGACAGGACCCTCGTTTTTGAATGATCTATATGTGGAAACATATATCGAAATATCAAATCATGATAATAAATTGAAATAAAAATTGGAAAACTAGCTAACAAGACTATGTTCTTTTCTTTCTTTCTTTTTTCATTCTTTCTTTTACATAACTGGCCTATTCCAGATGGAAGAGATTTTCTGCAACATTTTGCACCATGATAGGTTTGATAGCTTTGATCATCTCACAATTATAGTTAGGAAATTCACCAAGCCCTTCGATTCCAAATTTTTTCCAAACCGGGCAAGTGAACTTATCAAACAATACCCAAAGAGAGCATGTCCCCCTCTCGTTGGGCATTACGAGTAGGATTTCCCCGGTTGGAGTTGTCTTAATAGTGCAGTAAAATAAAGATGCCGAGTCCAAGGGAGCGGGGAAAACGTTCTTCTTCCAGCAGGATGCCGAGTCCAAGCTCCAAGTAATAAGCCTCTTGTGACGGAGACAAATGATAGCAAGCGCGCCATCCAATTCGAGGAACGAGGACTTGACGAGATCAAATTCGGTTTCACCTAGAGGGCGAGCCACCCCGTGGAAAGTCTCAGACCAAACATCGAATGCCACAATGGGGAAGCCACCGAATAGTTCCTTCCACCTACTTCGATTTCGAAATATCACATCCTCAAAATAGGTTACCCCATTTATGCAAACACTAGTCCTGAAATGGCAATCAGGGGCTTTGATCTCCCTCCATGTTGCATCCACGCCCAGTGTGAGCACCCAATGCTTGACCTTGTCGAGGCCGAAGCAAGATTCTGACTTCAAAACCTTGTATGCCGAAGAGCCATCCAATCCCACGTGCGCACAAGCCTCGGTCTCAAAATCCGACCAAGTCGGAGTTACCGGGAGGGTCGTATGTTGTCCTGTGCACAGGTTGGGAATCTCCACCGCTCCGTCTCGATTGTAGAGGCATATCAGATCTGGTGCAGAACACCAGTGTTGGAGATGTCTGGACCAGGAAACACGTTTTGCTTCAAGGAGCTTTCCCATTCCGGGCTGATTTTGTCCAAGAGATTTGTAATTTATGGTGTAAAATTCTTCGAGCTGGAAAGAGCCCGGCAGGGTCAGGGAGTCAACAGACTGAGCTCGAACAGAGAAGAGAATGGTTGTGCCGTGGGAGGCCGCCGTGGACCAATTCCGGTGAAACTCGACGAAACTGGGAGCTGTGATTATGGAACGGAAGGACTTCGAAACGCAGCAGAGCTTCCCCCGAGATTTGGCGCCAAGCCGAACCAGGATTTCAAAAAGTATGTCCCGCGGAAGAAGACAAAGCCGCAGGGTTTGTTTAGGAAAAGGAAGCCTGGGTTTCGAAAATCGCCCCATCTTAATTTGCCAAATAAATCTAATGCCGTATGTGATGGGTTGTTTTTATACTCGTATAGTCGTATGGCATACACGTACATCTAGGTCGGTCGTCCCAAATTCGAAAGGAGTTTGGACACCGTTTATTTTAGTTCCCAAACTGATTATGATGCGTTTGCAACATTGTTTTTCGGCTTATCAGACTTATTAGTCAACTTTTTCATCAAACATGTAACTTTTGTTTTCACGCTCTGAATTGTATACGTAATTAGCAGAAAAAGTATGGTTAAAGTTACTTTTCTGGCTGTATTGGCTGAAGTTACTGTAGATGTCCATTTTAGCTATTTTTACATATACTTTTTTCTTTAATTTATTAATAAAATATATTTTAAAAAATTTTTTTTCTTAAATCAGCAGAATCAGCCAATACAGCCACTTCAGCCAGAACTTCATAAATTTCAGCAGAATCAGCCAAATCAGCCGATTTTCATGCTACCAAACGGGCTCTATATTACGGTTAAGCGTGGCTATGAAAGATAATGCAAATAATAAATTTAGAAATAATAGCCCTAAATAGGACTAATCTAATCCATAAATGCACAAATAGGACTATGTTAATTGAGAAAATTGACATGGCTAAAACAAAAGCATGAATTTTTTCCCAAAATAGGACTTAATGTTTGGTTTTCCCTAAATAGGATTAACCTTACCTTTTTTACCCCTAATTCTATTTAATTGGAAAATAGTGAATGAAAACTTTTAACTGGAAAATTCGAAAAGAAATTAAATAAAAAGAGATAATTAATTGAGGGTATTTTGGAAAAAAAACTAGGACATCCCCGGGAATATCAAATCACCCAAGGCATGGATGGGTTTAGCATTCCCCTTCATATTACATCCCCGAATGTAACTTTGCCCAATTTTTTCTCCCGCGAATCAAACATGAATATATAACATTACTTGCATCATATTTCGGTCTTCATGTGAGATTACCCCAAACAAAACAAGTCCTTAGAAGTTGATGAGTTGTTCACTATTGCGTGTGGAGTATTTGTTTTAGTTCCTAACAGGGACGAAGCCACATGTATGAATGTGCTGTCAATTGACACCACTCAAATATTTTTTAGCTATATATATATATATATATATATATATAGAGAGAGAGAGGGGTAAATTTTCTGAAAACTAATTTTACACCACCAATATAATAGAAATGTTGCCAATTGACACCACTCAAATATTTTTTGTAGTTACATATAAAGGTTTTTCATTCTAAAAATTAATTTTAATATCGGCTCTATAATTGGAATGAGGGTCAAGATATAAATATATATGAAATAATTACAATAAATCAGTCTTACGTGTAGTGATAATGACACTATATCATAGTAACTTTTAGTGAAATCTTTGTAAATAAGTTTATTTAAGAAATATTCTTGGAATATTTTTTAAAGTCAAATATATACATAGTATATATAATATAGAGCGTTTTTGACATCAAAGTGGGCCATTGTACCTATAAAAGCATCATATTTGACCATCAAATAAGCTTTATTATTTGATTGTTTGAATTAAATTTTTGATGATTTGAATGATTGAATTTGAAACATAAAATGATTTTGTATCATTTTTATTATACACATACGGAGTATTTGAGTTGTCGGGATATGAAATAACTATTTAATTTATATCTACTCTGTATTATTATTGGTGATAATTGATACTACCTTCACGATTGACACTACTAGTAATAATTGATGCCAACATTAGGACATGGGGAGGTGATGTGGTCATTAGGACATGGGGATGTGTAAGAATAAAATGAATATAATTTAATTTCAAACAAATTTTACATAATTTGGTATCAGATAATCTTAGTGGGACAGATCGAAAAGGAAATACGAGACAATCTTAGCAGGACGTTGGGAGTACCATATAAAGTTATTTTCCCTGTTTTAAAACCTGAAAATTGACTTGAAAATTGTAGAAGACGTACTTTTATCAATAAGTTTATTTTTAATATTATGTCTCAAAAGTAGTATTTTGTTTAAAAAAATGACACCAGAACTATATTATAATAGGGCTACAATGTTTTTATATTCTCTTATCAAATTTGACCAGACTTAAATAGATCAGAACATATCAGATCATACTTTAACAATTGTATAATATACATAGACCAGACATCTACCTAACTAAACTAAACCAATTCAGACATCTACCAAACTAAACTAAACCAATTCAGACATCTACAGGATCAGACTTAAACAGAATAGAAACATTTCATCTCAATTAAAAACATCCCAAATATGAATTTTTGAATATGAACAAAATTAGGATTTATTATAAAAGAATGCACAAAAGCAACCCTTCTTATATTAGAGAGCTCAAACCCTAATTCCCCTCGTTGAGTTTCACGTTTCCTTCATAGGTGAAGCCGCCGCCATCCATGGGTGTATTTTCTGTCGTCGCGTTCATCACCACCGGCTCCATCGCTGCATCCATCACTACCAATGATGTCGCGTCTCCATCGTTGTTGGCTCAATTGACGTATCCAACCACAATTATTAAGTATACAAACTTTGCTATAATGAAATAAAGATGAAGATATGCATACCTAAACCTTAGATATATAGATGCAGTTGCCGTTCTACATTTCCTAGACTCTTCTTGGCGTCTTCGTTCAGATTCAAAACGGCACGTGAAGGGGTGAGATTTAGGAAATGAGATTTTCACCTTTATTTGGGCTTGTAAGTCTGGGTAAGTCCAATTTTTTTTTGAACTGCTCAAGTCTGAGAACAAAAAATGGATAACTGATGCCGTCTTCATCTTCAAGAATAAGAGTGATGGTGTATGTAAATTCAGCTCAAAACCTTAAACATTATTAAATAACCATGTGTATTCCTCTAAAAAAATCAGAAAAATGATGCTTAAGGAAGAAGTAAATAAATGTAACATCCTTCATAAGGATACAACCAAGGGTCAAAAGCATAATAGCACTGGCCATTAGTAACTAGAAACAAACAAAACAAAGTCGAATGCACACCCCCAGACTTAAAGACTGGTCCGAGTCTAAAAATATGCAATAATATAGGACACCTATGTGACGACACAGTACGTATTTTAGTTTATTATTATGTAAGATTTCAAATAAATATAAGAGATTCAAATGCAATATCTGCATGCCTTTCCATCACTACACATAGGTGACATGGTACTAATTAATTCAACATTAGTTATAACATAGAAGGTATCATTCAGGGCCATATTTTTATATCATTTCAAATAACATTTGCTATAGTCTCATTATCATTAGATGTTGCACTCACATTGGTTAAGAGCAACATCATATTTAAATTTTCAATTTATTCCCATCTGTTTTTAATGATCATATTCATATTTAAAGAAAAGAGTGAATCAAGTTTAGTGATTAATATACAAATAATTTTCTCTAGTAGATATGACTAGCTCAGAGAAGTATATAAAGATTAGAATACTTTTGCCTAAGTCTTATAAATTTGGTTTACCTAGTATTGGAGAAAATCCCTAATAGTTACTCGAATGATCGCTTAGCTTGCATACTTTTTTGTGTCAAGAAAAATTTCTCCATGCCAAGCAAAAGGTAAGGCAGCAAATAGTGACCATTCATCACTCTATATAGACATGGATGAGGACCGCATGCATACAAATAATCTTTCTTCAATGGTCTGATTTCAAAAGTACTCTAACAAAGTAACAAACAATTCAGTTGAAAACATACAAGTATATAAAATCATGATAATAGGTTGAAATAAAAATTGGAATCTTTCTTTCTTGTTTCTTTCTTTAACATAATTGGCCTATTCCAAATGGAAGAGATTTTCCTCAACATTTAGCACCATGATAGGTTTGGCAGCTTTGAATATCTCGCTATTATGTTAGGAAATTCACCACGCCCTTTGATTCCAAATTTTTTCCAAACCGGGCAAGTGAACTTGTCAAACAATACCCAAAGAGAGCATGTCCCCCTCTTGCTGGGCATTACGAGTAGGATTTCCCCAGTTGGAGTTGTCTTGATAGTGCAGTACAATAAAGATATACCGCTGGCCTCCACCGCAAAGTCAAAGGGAACGGGGAAAACGTACTTCTTCCAGCAGGATGCCGAGTCCAAGCTCCAAGTAATAAGCCTCTTGTGATGGAGACAAATGACAGTAAGCCGGCTATCCAATTCGAGGAACGGGGACTTCACGAGATCAAATTCCATTTCACCTAGGGGGTGAGCCATCCCATTGAAAGTCTCAGATCGAATATCGAATGCCACAATGCGGAAGCCCCCGTGTAGTTCCTTCCACCAACTTCGATTTCTATGTAGCACATTCTCAAAATAGGTTATGCCATTTATGCAAACACTAGTCCTGAAATGGCAATCAGGGGCATTAATCTCCCGCCATGTTGCATCCACACCCAGAGTGAGCACCCAATGCTTGACCTTGCAGAGATGGAAGCAAGCTTCTGACTTCGAAACCTTGTATGTTGCCAAGGAGCCATCAAATCCCACAAGCGCGCACAAGCCTCGATCACAAAACTTGACCAAGTCGGACTTGCTGGGAGGGTCGTAATTATACAAACCTACATACTTCCTCCGTTCTTAAATAAATATATTACTCTCGAAATATTTCACACTTGCCGAGACACAATGAGACAAATTTAACAATATATTTTTCATAAAAAATATATTCATACATCAATAAATAAAATGTAGTCAAAGTAGAACATGCGAATAGTGTAAAATTCCATATGTTGCATTTATTTAAGAACGGAGGTAGTATAAGATGAATTGGTGGTATCATAGATCTCAGCCATTGCCCATGAATAAATTAAATAAACCCCATTACACGGGACATCGAACCAAGCCCATTGACCGGGATTGATATAGCCACTGGGAATAACAAGGACCTCTACCCGCGAGAGGAACCCCCAACCAGGCCGAATCTGTACAGTAGACCTTGAGCTCGGGTGGGATTCTAGAAAGGTCGGACGCATCCTAGGGCTTACGTGGCAGGTTATCTATTGAGCATAGCTATCTGGCAGTGACAAAGAACTAACGGAAGAGGCGTGGACCTAAGGGAGTAATGTTTGCAGAATAATCGGAGACATTACTAGAGTCCTATCACAACTAAATATATTAACTGCATAAGTATAATCTCCTTAGACTACTGTAGCTCTGGGTCTATAAATACTTCTTGTACTTAACCTAAAAGGGATCCACCTCCTAAATAATAAACTGCATTACACAGCCTAAATTTCTCTGCTCTTTGTAGATTAGCTCTCGTAGTTGGAATTAAACTCCATCATTTGGTGCTCTCGTTGAAAGATAGATTTACGACGAAGATGATGCTTGGATCAGATAGTCACAATTGTGCTAGCAATAACTAAGTCATATCTTGGGAATTTTTCCATCTTAGTATGACGGACCAAAAAGAAAAGATAAGATAATTTTAGTGGGACGGAGTGAGTACTTCCTATAACCAAACTATTACTTATAAAATATTACTCGTGATTTCTCCTAATGTGAACCTCCAGAATATTAAGTTTCTTACGTACAATGTTATAAAATATTAGAAATATTTACATATTTTTGACTAAAATAAAGATTATTTATACAAATGTGACTAGTGACTAGAGTAGTAATCGAGTCATTGTAACTATAAGTCATGACATTACAATATAGTAACTATGAGTCATATTTGTGTAAATAAGTTTTTTTAAAATATTTTAAAATACCCCCAAAGTACTATTATCATTTTTTAAGAGTTAATAGTCACTCTTCTTTATTCACCTTTGTTAATAGAATATATTTTAAATATACAAATTTTATAATTTAGCACATTTAATCAATTCAGCCAATTAGTTGTAGCATCATCAATTGTAACATAATAATCGATTCAACCAATATGAGTATTATCAACTCTAAATTATCCTTCAATATCTTCATGTAAAGTATATGAGATGTGTTTATTTTACTCCTATGAAAAAGTTTTCCTTTTCTTAATTTTATTACGTAGGACTAATGTACGTACTATTATTTAAAATATTGGTCCACATAATCTAATACCATCGAATCTTTGAAATTTTATCACTTTGCTTAAACATAGACCGGCTGGAAATAACTAAACTAGATTGAACTTCTAAACCCGTTCGGACTTAAATTTTCTGGGTAAATATATCATAAAAACAACCTAAGAGAAGCTATTCAATTAATCTGCGAATGAATTTCATTAACCACGAACCCTATGATGCCAGCTCCTTTGCCTAATCAAAATTCCAACTTCTTTCAGCTTTCTCTTCTTAATAATGACATTCTTTTTGAAATTCTGGCAAGGCTTGGCGCCAAATCTCGTGGGAAGCTCTGCTGTGTTTCGAAATCTTTCCGTTGCATCATAACCGACCCCAGTTTCGTCGAGTTTCACCGGAATTGGTCCACGGCGGCTTCCCACGGCACAACCGTTCTCTTCTCTATCCCGGCTCCCAACTTCATTACCAAAAGCTCGCGGCATGAGTACATTCCCCGGCCCGAGGATTTTTACACCGTAAATTTCAAATCCAATGAAGAAAATCAGCCCGGAATCGGAAAGTTAGCGAAACGTGTTAGGCATATGGACAGAGTTTCCTGCTTCGGAGATCTCCGGTATGGATCTTCCGCGGCAGATCGGATATGTCTCTTCAATGGCGAAGGAGTGGTCGTGATTTGCAACCTCTGCACGGGACAACAGACGCCTCTCCCGCCATCTCCCGCTTGGTCCGAGTCTCAGGCCGAGGGTTGTGCGCTTTTGGGGCTCGACGGCTCCTCGGACACATTCAAGGTGTTGAAGCTGGAAGCTTGTTTCAGTGACTGCACGGTCAAGCAATGGGTGCTCACCCTCGGCCTGGATGCGACCTGGCGGGAGATCAAGGGCTCTCTCCAATTTTACCCTTATTGTAGCTTCACCTCTGGTGTTTGCATAAACAGCGTTATCTATTTCTATAATTTTGTGCGTTATCATCTCGGTGGGTGGAGCGCGGTAGACTGTGCCTTCCCCATCGTGGCATTCGATGTTCGGTCTGAGACTTTCCGTCGGATGCCTCTCCCTCCGATCACATATGAAACGCCACGATGGGGAAGTCTCCTAAAGTCCTCGTTCCTAGAATTGGACGGTCAGTTGGCTATACTTCTTCTCCGCAACAACATGATTTTTATGTGGAATTTAGACATTGTGGCGAATTCGGCATCGTGCTGGAAGACGCACACTTTCCCCATTCCCTCCGAGGTGGAGGCTGCGTTAGCGGTGGCCGGGGGTAAATTTTCGTGCACTCTTACAACTACTCCCACAGGCGAAATCGTGCTGCTAATGCCGGAGGCGGGAATTTCCTCTCTTTGGGTTTTATTTGATAAGTTCAAGCCCGCAAGCCGTGTTTGGAAGAAATTTGGAATCAAAGGACTTAAAGATTTTCCTAATCTTGTTAGCAACTCATTCAAAGCTATCATGGTGCAAAACATTGCTGAAGCTATCTTTCACCTGGAATAGGCCAATTATGTACGTAGTGATAGATAGTCTCGTTAGCTAGTTTTCCAATTTTTGTTTCAATTTATCATTATGAATTACTCCGTATTTGTTAATTTGTTAGAGTAATTCTTTTTAAGTCAGATTGGTTAAGATAGATGATTGTAGGTAGGTTGACTGGATGAATTATACAGAGTAGATGTAGTCATTTTTACAAATAAAGAGTCTCCATAGTGTCTTTAAGAATATACCCAATTTGGTTTGTTAGTAAATTCATTTATTATGTTCTTACATAATTTATCGGTATCTTGTTTATAAGGTCAAAAGAACATATGGGCTAACATCAAAGAAAATGAGTATACTCTTTGTTTTTGAGGCTTAAATTTGAACAGGGGATTCAAATTAATAGTTGGGGGGCAAAGGAAGACACTTGTTATTTGTTAAATCCTCAAATACATAATTCAGCCTTTGAAAGATCGAGATTTGGTTTATTATTAGGGAAAGTTATTATGGACAAATGTTGTTTTTCTAAATGCTTCTTTCTTCATGCCAAATCCTTCCTGATGTTGTTATGTGGAAAAAACATTTATTTGAAGAATGGAAATGCTCTAACTTTTCCAAAAAAAAAGGTGGCGATAGTGCGTACAACGCTTGTGATACTACTCCATTTTGCTCAAAACGTGTATGATTGTAATTATATATGACAATGTATTATAATTGATGCTAATGTTATCATTAAGTTGGAGTGTTCAAAATTGATGTTTTGAACCCTGAAACTTCCCTCAATCATATATTGTGTAATTACAAAACACAATCACCTGTTTTTTTACTTATCGAAGAATTACCTACTAACTTTTGAATAAACACCTAACTTCTAACCTCACGCGTAGGGGTAGGGGTGGACTCGGGTCGGGCCGCCCGGCCCGGAACCGGACCGGTAATGTTTGGGCCCGGCCCGGCCCGGTACCCGGTCTAGGGGCCGGTTCGGGCCAACCGGAACCGCTCTAATCCCGGTGCGGGCTCGGGCCCCCTAAAATGCGAACCGGTCCGGGCCCGGTTCGGGCCTAATTTATATTTTTTTGATTTTTTCATTTTTTTTTGTTTCTACCGGGTTGGGCTAGGTGTTTTGGGGAGGGTTTGGGAGTGGGGGGGTCAGGGGTTATTAAGAAAATCAAAAAAATAACATTGAATCGGAACCGGCCCGGCCCGGCCCGGCCCGGCCCGAAACTGCCGGCTACCCGGGTCGGTTCCACCATTCCCAAATAAAAGCCTTGCCGGGCCCAGGCCCGAACCAGAACCGGCCCGTGTCCATCTCTACGTAGGGGTGGACTCGGGTCGGGCCGCCCGGCCCGGTACTGTTTGGACCCGGCCCGGACCGGTCGGCCGGTCTTCAGGCCGGTTCGGGACTACCGAACCGCTCAATTCCCGGGGCGGGCTCAGGCCTCCTAAAAGTGAAACCGGCCCGGCCGGTTCGGGCCAATTTTTTTTTTTTCAATTTTTTCTGTTTCTACCGGGTTGGGTTGGGTGTTTTGGAGGGTGGAGGGGGGAGGTTGGGAGTTAATTACAAAAGCAAAAGAAAAAAAACATTGAACCGGAACCAGCCCAGAACCGCTGCCTACCCGGGCCGGTTCCGGTTCTTCCTTCACAGAGAAAAAGCCTGGCCGGGCCCAAGCCCGAACCGGAACTGGCCCGGGTCCATCCCTACTCACGCACTGAAATGTTGAATTGTACTGTAATGACATAATTAAAAAATGTAAAGTCATAATTAATATTAACTAAAGTTAGTGTTGAGGATCATTTTACCTATTCTTCATATAACTTTTTTTATTAATAAAGTACTACGGCTCTAAGAGTTTAAGAAAGTTAAATACATATCCATGGGATTGGGGAGGAGAAAGTTTATTTTATTTTATTTTATTCAGGAAACAAATGATACAACAATACCTTACTTTTACATGGGGCATACATATGAGGGCACACTAATAACATGAATGATTTTCACAGGACACAGAAACTACCTAGCCCTCTTCAAATTTTCAGATCTATACTCTAAAAGTCTAAATTAGATGATACACTTGCATTTGAAATAGACGGGTCAGATCAGACCATAGTGAACAACAGCACCGACTTCACGATGGGTTTGCGCCTGCTGCATAAGTTTAGCATCAAGAGCAACCATCTGACTATTTAGTTGGACGATGTTATTTGTATGCGTCTGGTGGTAATATGGGTTGCGGTTAATAACACCACCACTGGCATTCGTCCTAGGTGGGGTTAGCTTAGCATCTTGCTGCACGTCTGGCTGCTGTTTCATCATAATCTGCTGTGATGACTCTTTCCCAGTATCGGCAACACACTGCTCTTCGTTCTTTACTGAGTTATTCCTATATACATAATAATGGGAAGGTACTCCCTGCGGATGCATGACGGGATTCCGTGAACATAAATGCCCGTTATGACACTCCCTGGTCCTTCTCTCACTATCTAGGGGTAAAACCGGACCTACAACTCTCGGGATAGCTGCAGAAGCAAAGTTAACACTTGAGGTTATTTACACAACCAACTCAATTAAAAGCTCTCAGAAAATGCTAGGGAACTAAAACATAAGAGGAATAGAGGGAAAATGTGGGAGAAGTTAAAATTTTGGATCCAACTCAAGTGATCAAATTTAAGATATTCCCTCAATCTCATTTTAATTTTATGCTTCAAGTTATATTCAGACTAAGATTACTGAAATATATAATTTTCATAAATGATTTTTCTTTGCATTTTCCAAGTTTCTAACATTAAACCCTACTTTCTATAGCATTTTGATATCTGGGAGACGCGAGGGAAAGAAAATAGGGAGGAAATTTGAAATCAAACAAAATGAGGATGGGGGGATTCAAAGTCAAGTAATAAATTTTACGGAGTAGATAGTTTTTCAAAATCAGTGTATTTTAATACACTATATACAGAGTAGAGACTACAGCTAATGTATGTGAAATTCAAAAGGGTTTGACAAAATTTTTCCTTATTTACCAAAGACAACCTAAGATTAAAAACTCCTTCACAACTTTTTCCGTGTCCGTAACATTTTTTGAGTTTCAAATATGGTATAAAAATGAAACTTGGCAAAGTCACCCTACCTGCAGCTACTGGCACAGGTGGTGGTGGTCGTGAAACCTTGGGTACATGATTACAAGGAGTCTCTGTAACTCTGGAGCCCGCAGATACTTCTTCAGTCACCCGTCGATGATCACACATGGATGCGGTTGGTTGGGTTTTGGGTGGGACAGTACTTGTATTAACTGTAGAACTGCACATATTATTCATTATTTATTTAGATAACTAAACCAAAGGCCTGGAAGAAAATAAAGAATGAACCATGCACAGCCTTACTACCGTGGAAGAGAGACATGCTTTCTTTCAGGAGGAATCACTGGCCCACTTTTACCACTCATTTCTTCCAGATAAGCAAATTGCCTTCTAAAATGACCTATAGCACTGCATTTACAATAATTTCCATTAAGCATCGACTAGAAAAGTCAAATCCCCTTTCTTAGAGTATAGTCACAGAAAAAAAACAAAAATTACTTTAACAACTAAGACCTTGGGTAGAGATAGCTTGTGGCTTCATTTCCCGAAAGGTAGTCCTTAAGAAGTTGTGGATGATATTCTAATATCTCTCTAAATATTAAATCTCTGACATCATCCTTTGTCAACCTCCGGCGCTCAAACTCAAATTCCAGTTTAGAGATTTGTTGACAGGAAGGTTCTCTCTCAATCTTGGCTAATCCCTTGAAGTATGGATCTGCCAATGCCTGGAGAAACCAAACACAGTCAGAGTTGAAGAGCAAAATCACCCAGGATTTGTAGTATGATACACTTCCAGAGAGCATTTTGTTTCCTTGCCCTAGTAATTTCCGGTTTAAAACACATTTAGATTTCTTTATCTTACAATAATAACTACTATGAAATGAAAAGGAAAGCTAAACATGGCTACATTTCAACAATAGAAATAGAAATATATGAATACAAGTTTGAACAAGTGCCAAATATTAATCTGCTTTTTAGTTTTCTTTAGTCTCCCACAATTTCTTCCGTTCTCCATTTCTTCCCTAAGGTTTCCTAGTATCTTCCAGGTTGCAAAAGGACCCATGAAGTTGCACAATTTACCTGTTCAGCAGTGGGCCGGTCCTTGGGATCAAATGCCAATAACCGCTGCAGCAGTCGAACTGCCAAAGGATCCAACCCGTGAAATTTCTGGGTAAAAGAAACGGGGTTCTTTTTTCTCATGTCCATTAGATATTTCCTGGCCTTCTCATTACGAACCTGAGATTACCAAAAATGGAAATGTGATAAATTGCACAGGAGATGAGAAGAACAAACACCCCAGCAGCATATGAAAACCACTTTTTCTTCATTTACCCCAGAAACAGTTTCTACTGATGGTGTCCCCAGAAGATCAGTAATCAATTCCAACTGGTGAATGACACTTTTCCCAGGGAAAAGTGGTTTTCCCGTCAGAACCTCAGCGAAAATACAGCCAATACTCCAAATATCAATGGCAGGAGTATACTGCAAAAAAGAATAACAGCGAACAGTTAAGACAAAACTGAAGTATTGCCAAAAAAGATGACCTGAAGACCCGACACGGTTACCTGAAGAAAGAAAATTCAACTTCCAGGAGAGTTCATTAGTCCTCCCTGAACAAGAATTGTATTATCTACACATTACTACTTAACGCACTAAGAGAAGGCGTGTTGAATTCTAGAATGAACACTAACAAGACTGTAAGAATTTTCATGGACAAGGAAGGATAAGAGCAAAATAACCACGCAGTTGCTGACCAAACAAACAACAAAATGAATGCAGGCAAAGATGCCCTATCAAGCACTAACTCAAGAGCCACTGATGGAAGTATATTTACCTTGGAAAAGAAAGATCCGCATAACTCAGGAGCCCTATACCATCTTGTAGCAACATAATCCTGCAAAAGCATCAGTAAGAAAAAAAATCAACAAAACATCAATGCAAGGTAACTGGAAAGAAAGAATGAATGAATACTTCAAAAGACTACAAATAAAATAACTTCTTTAAGCCTATGATAGAGTCCTATTTAATAAAGAACATACGTAGTATAACTTTATTATAGTTAATCGTTGCAGTTTTATTTTTCTTGAACTACTAAACAAGTACTATTAGTCATAATCAATTAAACCAAAACATAAATTTTGAAACTGCTAGAATTAAT